TCCGAACCCGGGCCGCCAGCAGCAGAGCGCGTGCACTTAACCACTAAGCCACCAGGCCGGCCCTGATATATGTTTTAAATATGTGCTCTGTTTTAGATGCTGACATTTTTGTGTTGCTTTTCATTTTATTTACCAGTTACCTTTATTTAAAGGTTACTTTAATCAGTTTTCTACCTTTATTTTTAAGTCTGTGGGAAAGAATTGTATTTTTATGAGCTCTCAGGTGTTGTAAGTAATATAAACATTTCTTTTGAAGAAGTATTACCTTTTTTATGAAAAACTTGAAACTCTTTTTGGAACTACTGAAGTGATGTATTTTTATTATTACCAGAAGTGTGTATCTCATGTCCAAGTGGATAGCAGAGATCTTGATCGAAGAAAGACACTGCAAGTTACAGTGCCTGTCAAACCTACAAATGATAATGATGAATTTGAAAAGCAGAGGACTGCTGCTATTGCAGAAGTTGCAAAGAGCAAAGAAGTAAGAAATGAAATAGTTATAAATTTCTCTTATTTCTTGTCATTATGTTCTGTTCCGATTACTCATAATCATTACTGTCTTTTCACATAAGGTAACTAATTGAATAAACTTTTGACATTCTTCTTGCGTGTTCTGTCAGTAGAAAATCCCCTGGTGCCTTATGGAGTCTTAAGCTTACACATTTTGCTCATATGTTCTTTTTCCAAATCTCTTTGACAGTTCCATTAAGTTACTCTTGCTAGCAAAGCACCTTTCTTTTCTGCCTGTTCCTTTTCTTCTTAACAGTGTAACAACTGAACACAACACTTTTTATTATGGCAGAGGATTTCCTATTATTAGTTTGGCTAGATGACATTTTTGAGGATAATTTTTCCCCATAATAGCAACTTCTGAGGAATACAGGTAAAAATCAGAGGCTCAGGATTAACATTTCTGTCAGTTTTCATTCTTAAATTTATTTAATGTATGGTAAGAAATAATTTTTATCTTTGGATTATATATATATTTATATATATACACACACACACCCCATCATTTACTATTAATAGCCAAATGATTTCCTTTTATTTATTTTTAATTTCTTGCTTATTTGAAATAGGTGTTTTCTCTAGTTATTTATTGATTATTTTAGACTTTGATAAGAAATTCTAGTTAATGAGTTAGTTGCTTAGACAGACTTTTCTTAATCAGTGATATTGAAGGAGTTTCCTTTATTCAAAACCAGTAATGAATCTTAGCTAACAACTGCTGTCCTATTTAAATGGGAAGTTTAAGTAGGAAACTGCTTGAATTTTGGTGGTTCTTCCTACAGTGTGTCTATCATCAGTCTAATTTAGGGGCCAAGAGCACAAACTCTGGAATCAGGCAGCCTGGAAGCATAGCCTGCTGACAACCTTGGATAAGTTACTTAAATTTTGTACCCTATTTTTCTTTATCTATGAAAAGAGGATAATAATAGTACCTACTTCATATGGTTACAGTGAGAATTAAAATTGATACTCTTTAAAACATTTAGAACACTACATGGTACAGATAATGATGTTCCTTGGCTAAAAGCTCTCAATAAACATGCCTCTTGCTATTCTTCAGTATTTCCTCTATTCTAAGACTCATTTAAAAAAATCATTTTTAATATTTCTGAAATAAATACATTTTACACAGTTAACATGAAATGTATTTTTTCTTTCTCAAAAAGAAAATTGTGGAGTTTCAGAAGAGGATATTGGTTGTATATCAATTTCTCTTTCTTTTTTTGGTGAGGGAGACTGGCCCTGTGCTAACATCTGTTGCCCATCTTCCTCTTTTTGCTTGAGGAAAATTGTTGCTGAGCTGACATCTGTGCCAGTCTTCCTCTAGCTTGTATATGGGACGCTGCCACACCATGGCTTGACGAGTTGTGTGTAGTCCATGCCTAGGACCCAAACCCATGAACCCTGGGCTGCCAAAGCACAGTGTGAACCCAGCCACTACGCCACCAGGCTGGCCTCTCAATTTCTTAATGATTATAGGAAACCTGTTCTTTTGGTTTACATTTTTTTCAAACAAACTTTCCTCCCCAAATCTTGTTTGATGTATCTGCTATCTATTTACTGGAATATAGTTAACATATTGTAATATGCGTCATTTCTTAAAGTCATAATTGATTATATTATATTTTTCCATGAATATTTGATAAATAAAGAATCATAGTTTTCTGAAGCCGACTTAAAACTTCTCAGTATATATATGAGAGAGCTGATGGAAGCTAAAAACTAAAGGAACTTGCCCAAGGTTACCTGGCGACAATTCTAGGACTAAACCTATGCGTATTATAGTAGAAGATTTTATCTATATTTATATATCTCTCTATATAGATAAGTATACACACAAATATTTATATTTAATCTGAATGTCTGAACAGCAAAACCGCATAACAGTGTAATTGTTCTGAAAAGATGTTTTATGATCATCCATTTAAACACTTCTGTGAATTTTGTGGAATCTACTGAAAATGACCAAGTGATGATGTTCGTTCCTTTTTTTCTTCATTCTTCGTTTAGCAAATATTTTTTGAGAACCTACTATATATCAGAAAGAGTTTTAAATGCTTATGTTAAATCAATGAACAAAATAGACAAAAGATCCCTCCCCTTATCAAGCTTATATTTTAGTAAGGGTGACAGACTATTAGCATAATAAATATGTAAATTGTTTGATAGGTTAGAAGTTGGTAAGTGCTATGGGAAAAAAGAAAAAGTAGAGTAGGCTGGGGACTTGGGAGTGCTGGTTGAGGGGGGGTTGCAATTTAAAATACGATGGTCAGAAATTGAGAGTTTTTTGAAATTCTTGTGTAGTTTATATTCTAGTAAGGACAATAAATAATATAAACATACTAAATAAGTATATTGCAGTTTTCAGTGTTAAATATAGTAGGTTGATTAAGCCTCAAGATGGTGAGATTTTAGCCAAGACTTGAAGGAGGTAAGAGACTTAGCTATGTGGTTATCTGAGAGGAGTGTTCCAAGGAGAAGGAAAAACTGTTGCAAATGTTCTAAAGCAGGAGTATATGTTCAGGGAATAGCAAGGTGACCAGTGGAAGCAGAGAGAGCAAAGGAACAAGTAGTAGAATATAAAGTAAAGAGCGATAATGGAGGTCGGCTTATTTCGGGCCCTGGAAGCATCTTAAAGACATTGGCCTTTATTTGGGAAGAAATGAAGAGCCTTTGGAGGGTTTTCAGCATAGCAGTAACATCAGCTGACCTACATTTTAAAAGTCTAATTCTGGCTGCTGTGTTCAGAATAGATTGTAGAGAAGGAAAGTTAGGACAAGTTAGGAAATTATTGAAGTAATCCAGCGGGAGGAAAATGATGGTAGCTTGAATGAAGATGGCAGCTGTTGAGGTGGTGCAAAGTGGTCAGATTCTGGAATTTTGAAAGTAGAGCCGTCAGGGTTTCTGAGAGATTGAATTTGGTACGTGAGAGAAGAGGTGTCATGAATGACTCTAAGGGTTTTGCCCTGAGGTTGGAGTTGCTTACCTTAATTAGAGAAGACTAGGGTGGAACAGGTTTGAGAAGAGGAAGATCTGGTGTTGTGTTTTGAACATATTAATATTGATGTGCCTATCAGACATCCATGTGGTAATGTTTAATAGGCAGCGAGACAGAAGAGAATAGTTGAAGTGTGAGCCTTGGAATGGATGTATGCATCTGAGAGTTGTAGGCATATAGATGATATTTAAAATCATGAGGTCAAATGAGATCACCAAAGGGATGAGTGCTGAAGGGAAGAGAACAGGGTAAAGAATGAACCCTGTAGCATTTCAACCTTATAGGTTGAATGAAAGAAGTTGAATCAGCCAAGGTGTGACCAGTAAGATAGAATCAAAACCAGAGAATGCAGAAAGTGTATCATGGAAGAAGGAGTGTTGGACTTATCAAAGGCTGTTGAAAAGTCATGTAAGATGTGGCCTGAGAATTAATGTAGAGTTGGGAAAGTCATTCATTCCCTCCACATTCCTCTTAACATTTATATAGATGGTGGTAAAATAAAATATGTGGTGCTAAGATAAAGTATGTGTGCAGATATCAGTGAGTGGGTGATGTGAAAATCTGTGCAAGTTCTTTAACGATTATTTCAGTTTTTTCAGTGAGGGAATAATAAGCAAGGTCAACAGTGGTAATGGAGGAGAGGATGTTGGAGGTTTGAGGAGTGACGAGAACATGTAAAGTAGTGGTCTGAAAGACTGGGAGGTAAATGGCCTAGAGAAATACAGTAAGATTGCTAGGCAGCATTAAGGGCCCACTTGAGTTTCATGGTCATGATGATCTCACAGATGCCTAATTTACATAATATGGGCAAGGTGGTATGGCTCATAAAGGACAACATCAGTTTTCTTACGAATTTTAAGTTATGATGTTTCTAGATATTTACATGTTTAGTGAGTAACAACTGTTTTAAAGTCGTGAAAAGCAATTCTGAAAATGCTATTTATCCTATTCCTTAATCCATAAAATGGAAAGAAAATAATAAGGAAATGCATCCAGAAGATGGGACTATTTCACTGGCACCAAAAGAAAAAGCACTTTTGGAGTCACGGAATTTAAATTCCGGAAATATATTTAATTTGGAACAGGTCAGGCTCCAGTCCTTTCAGGTAACTATGTTCTAATATATTAAGCAATATAGTACTATTGCCATCTGTTATTAATGTCTACCATGTGCCAGTTACTGAATTCATCACTTCATGTTGATGATGTCATTTAATCCTCACAACATCCCAGTGAGGTAGATTTTCTCCTCCCTGTTTTAAGGGTGAGAAACCTGAGGCTCATGGAAGGTAGAAGTTAACTGACTTGCCTAAGGGCAGGAGCTAGGAAGTGGCTGAGCCAAGATTTAGTCCCAGCCTTGTCTAGCTCCAAAGCCTATGTTCTTAACTATACTACACTGTCTCCCAGTCTAATAAACTTTGTATCACATTAATAAAAACTCAAATTTTTCTTTATGGTTATACAAGTAATGACCATCAAGACGCTCCAAATCTATTTTTTGCTGGGATTACATAAACCAAAACTTGAATGAATCCAGTAATGAATCTTTGGTCTTTGAAGATGTGTTTTTAATTTTGATTTGAATTAAATTTAAATATTGTGGTGTATTAACTACCTAATAGAGATATTTAATATGTTGCCCATTAATGCTTGTCTCACAAGATTTTTCTGTTTTTCAGTTTCTATTTCTTTATATTTTCAGCTGATTCAAAATAATTTCCCGGTGTTATATAAATTTATATCTAGGATGTTTTCTTAGTGTGATCATTTTAAAACACATTTAAAAATATTGATCTTTATCTCTAGTAAAAATCAAGTTTTGACTTCTTCCTCTTTTATTAGATCTATTAGAACTATAAAGATATTTTATAATCAGATGTTTAATTTGCTATTGTACAAGTAACAAGTGTGGGATGCTTTTCAATTATGAATTTGTATCTTTCCAAACCAATGTTCTTTATGTATCCAGTCTTTTCACAATAGTTTTAATAAAACAAAAATGAGATCTAATCAGATTTTCAAATTTGGTTACATATATAATTATTGAAATAAGTCAGGCAAAAGAAGAAATATGGATATATTCAAAGCTTTTAGTCTAGTTGGTAAGACATAGCATATTATGTAATTAATGTAAATAAATTAGTAGTGAAAGTTTTAATCCAGTGTTAAAATTTATATTATTTGTTTACTTTCTAAGATTATAAAATCATTACTGGGCCATGGACATAATGTAACTGATTCCTAGACAGATTTAGTGCTGTGCTTCAGATAGCCTTGCCATGGAGCTAGATTTGTAATCGGGGTCTCATGATATCAGTCAAGCATTTTACCCTAGAATCATTTTTGACACCTGATCTCCATAATGCTTCTATTATTTTAATTTCTCCTATATTGTTGTCTACTTAAGTTTATTCTGATGATTTGCCTTGGAGACTTAAAGATTATAATCATGTAATTTTTTAATTGCCTTCCCTGAACTTGTGGGAAGAAGAGATTATGGCTTATAGATACTTGTTTAAAAAGAATTAGTTAACATTTCATTTTTTTCCTGTAAAGCATAATTAGAAACTTTTAAATACTTCAGTTTTGCTAGATGTTTTTAGTCATAGCTTAGTTTTTAGAACTATTTTAAAATGCTATTTATTTATGTCTCTTTTATCTTTCTCTTGTCTAAAGACCAAGACATTTGGAGGAGGTGGTGGTGGTGCTAGAAGTAATCTCAACATGAGTACTGCTGGTAACCGAAATAGGGAAATTTTACAGAAAGAAAAGTCCACCAAATCAGAGGGGAAACATGAAGGTGTCTATAGAGAACTGGTAAGGCTAAAGAACTAACCACAAGGTTACTGTGTACTTCCTTTAATAGCCTTGATGATTTTTTATTCTTTCTCACAACCAGCACTGGCTGTGTTCAGTGTATTATGAATAGATGTTACAACTCTAGGAAGGTTTTCATTAAGGATTACAATTAACTCATGGAAAATTTGGATTGTTTGAAAAATAATTTACCTGAAACTTCCATTTTACTTAAATTTTTAATGTCTGAATAATGTCTTTTAGAATGGATTGATAAAAAGCCATCAAACTAAATAGAAGGCACTCAATGGAAATTACATTCTAAAAGATGTTGCATCAAAAACATACAGTTATCTGCCCTTCCCTACGCTTCACAACATCTTTTCTCAAATTTTGTCTAAATTGATTTTGTTTTGTTTTGTTTTGCTCTTTTGGAAAAATATATTGAAACAAGTGCTTGTATATTATGTACTCAATCTCAAAATATACATGGATTTTCAAGACAAATGGGAGGAGTTAAAGATATTTCTAGTATGCTGCAGTGTCCTCAGATATAAGAGAATTGACAGGAATTCATTTTCCTCTCTCTTTAGAGGTCGAATGACTTGGAGTGATTTTGTCTGCAGGGTATAGAATACTAAGACTAGCTTAAATAATGGAGGTTTATTATCTTGTATAACAAGAAATTCAGAGGTAGATGGTTACAAAGGTTGATAAATTCAGCAGTATAACAATGTTAGAGCTCTGGTGGGCATCTCTGTGATTTCTTGACTTTCTTCTCTGAGTTACAGGGTTCTCCATGTGTTAAATCTTCATGCAAAAAGTTCAAAGACAGGAAAGAAAGGGAGTATTTCGCTGGGTGTGGGTCTGTTTTATCAGATAAGAAAGTATTTTCTGAAATCTCCAGCAAATTCCATATATGTCTCATTGACTAGAACTAGGTCACATGCCCACTCCTAAATCAGTCACTGGCTAGGGAGAATGGGTTTATAACTATGGACAAGGCTATCTCTTCCTTGAATTTATGATCATCTTATTCTTAAAAAAAAAAATTCAGTTTTCGGGTTAGAGTGGATACAGAGAGCTGCTAAAGTCATGGTCCCTAACTCAAGATGCTCTTAAACTTGAGTAAATTGAGAATACTTCTCTGGGGATGTCTTGCCATAGAACACCAGAGACCAGCAGTTTGGGATTGTTGCAAGGATTAAAAACATATGAAGGGAGTGCTATCATAAAGATGGCAGAATAGAAAGTTCCAGGAATTGGCCCCTCCACTGAAATGTCTATTAAGCTGACAAATACTGTCTGAAGCAACTATTTTAGAACTCTGGAGCCTAGTGAAACTCTTGCAGCATATAGAGTAGTGATTGATGAAGAAAGAGGCTAGTCACCAGCTGACCACAGAGATAATGGAACAGAGACTTCAGTGATCACATACCATAGGGGTTATAATCCTTGCAAAGAAAGTCTGGAAAGGTCACTAAAGAAGCTTACAGCTGCAGTCTTTATCAAGTCACAACAGCATTCCTGAGGAAAAAGGAGAATCTGATTTCCAAAATTACCACCATTACAGTATTCAGAATTTCCATTTCTCAATAGAAAATTACAAAGCATACCAAAAAATAGGAAAATATGACCCATTCATAGGAAAAAAAGAAATTGACAGAGAGCATCCCGGAAGAAGCCCAGGCCTTGGACTTACTAAACAAAGACTTTAAATTAACTGTCTTAAATATGCTCAAAGGTCTAAAGGGAAGCATTGACAAAGAACTAAAAGAAATCGGGAGAACAATATATGAACAAGTAGGGAATATCAATAAAGAGATAGAAATTGTAAAAATGAAACCAAATAGAATTTCCAGAGTTGAAAAGTACAGTAGCTGAAATAAAAAATTTCATTAGTCTATGAAAAATTTCATAGTTCAACATCAGATTAGAGGAGGCAAATAAAGAATCAGTGAACTTTAATATAGGGCAATGGGAATTACCTGGTCTAAGGAGCAGACAGAGAAAAGAATGAAGAAAAATAGACCCTAAGGAACCTATGGGGTACCATCAAATGTACCAACATACACATTATGGGAGTCCCAATAGGAGAAGAGAGAAAGGGACAGAAAAAATATTTGAAGAAATAATTGCCCCAAATTCCCAAATTTGATGAAATGAATCTACAAATCCAGGAAACTCTAAAGTCCAAAAGGATAAATTCAAAGCAAGACACACCAAGACACATTATAATCAAGTTGTTGAGAGCTAAAGACAGAGAAATCTTGAAAGTGGTGAGAGAAAAGCAACTCATGAAGTATAAGGGATCCTCAATAAGATAAACAGCCAATTTCTTATCAGAAACTATGGAGGCAAGAAAGCAGTGGGATGATATATTCAAAGTACTGAAAGAAAAAAAACTGTTAACCAAGAATTCTATATCCAGCAAAACTATTATTCAAAATGAAGGGGAAGTGCTGGCCTGGTGGCATAGTGGTTAAAGTTCTGCATGCTCCGCTTTGGCGGCCCAGGTTTGCGGGTTCGGATCTTAGACGCAGACCTATACCACTCATCAAGCCATGCTGTGGCGGCGACCCACATACAAAAAATGGAGGAAGATTGGCATAGGTGTTAGCTCAGGGCCAACCTTCCTCAAGCAAAAAAAAGGAAAATTGGCTACAGATGTTAGCTTAGGGCCAACCTTTCTCAGCAAAATAAAAATAAAAATAAATGAAAGAACCATCAAAAGGACAAATGAAATACTGATGTAAGTTTGAAAGTACATGAATTATTCTAATGACTAGGTACCAAATTCTTTTGCATGTTGGATGGTTTTCTTTATTTTCAACAGTTGAAGGAAGACTTGATTGGGATGTCAGCGGATAGATCCTTAAAATAATTTTTGATAATAGATGGTATTATAGGTTGAATTGTGTGTCCCCCCTCAAGACATGTTGAAGTTCTAACCACCAGTGCTTTAAAATGTGACTTTATTTGGAAATAGGGTCTCCACAGAGGTATCAAGTTTAAAAGAGGTCATTAGGGTAGGCCCTAATCCAATATGATCCTAATCTAATCTCCTTATAAAAAGGGGAAATTCAGACACAGAGACAGACACATAAAGAGAGACGATGACTTGAAGATACACAGCAAGAAGATGGCCATGTGTCTGGAGTGATGCATCTACAAGCTGAGGAATGCCAAGGATTGCCAACAAACAACAGAAGCTAGAAGAAACAAGGAAGGTTCTCCCCTAGAGCTATCAGACAGAGTGTGGCCCTGCTAACACCTTGATTGAGAGGTTTGGTTAACTGCAGATCAGGTCAACAAGAAAAGTAGAATAAGTTATGCAAAGTTTGAGTATTAATTGATTAGTAAAAGTGTTTTTGGTCAAGTTCTATATATGGAACAATATTCTTAATTAGATATTTATTTGGGAGATAACTGGGAAAGGGAAAGGTTTTGGAAGGTTTGTTATTTTTTACATTCAGATAAGTTTTTGGATAAGAAGGATGAATTATAGCTTTGATGTCAAGTCTTTTTTTACATTTACTTTAGCATATCTACAGCAGGGATGTAAAGTTTCTCTTATGTGTCAATTCTGATCTGTTGATAGTAGATACTGTGTTTAGGAAGGATTCTGTGTTTGGGAGGATACAGTCAGGGTTTAGAAAAAAGTGCTGTACTTTTATCAGTGTCTACACAGGTATCAGAGTGGCTGTCTGCAACATGCATGCCATGTATAATCAAGCCTATCCATCTTAACTCTTAGAGGTACAAAAGTTAGTTATGTATTCCTCAGCTGCCTATGGTTCAAGAAATTTCTTCATGGAATATGTTTATGTTACTTAAACAGTTCTTGAATTCTACTCAGGTCTAGATTTTTCAAGGAGATTTTGGGTTCTGGCATTTGTAAAGTAGATTTTCCTATTCAGGGTACAGATTGTCAAAGCATCCTGGATAGTATTGCTTAAGAACATAGAGCAGAATACTGAAATAATAGAAAGTAAAAAAAAAACAAAGCTACTGAGATGGTACCGTTTGTTAGCTTCATTTTATACTTTGCATTTTTGGAGAGGTGCTATATAAATTACATTTCTTTTCTAGGAAGTATTTAAGTATCGACCATGAAAAGTTTTCATTAAGTAGTTTTCAATGTCTATATTATTTTCAAAAGCCTTATTCTGACGTATCATAAAATTTCCTTTGTTTTGCATTTGGTACTTGTAAAGTCAGAGAGTACTCAAGGCACAACCTCATGTATCATACGAATTCTTCCTTGGCTACTGGTATGAAAAAATAGCAAGTGAATGTTGTGTTAATGTGACATTTTTTCCATAAGCATGAGATGTAATTTTTAGTTAAAAAACAGTATATAGTTAAAAACTTATACCTTGTTTTATTTATTGGCCATCAGCATAGTTTTTTTATTCATTCCTTACAGGTTGATGAGAAGGCTCTGAAGCACATAACAGAAATGGGCTTTAGTAAGGAAGCATCAAGGCAAGCTCTTATGGATAATGGCAACAACTTAGAAGCAGCACTCAATGTACTTCTTAACAGCAATAAACAGAAACCTGTTATGGGTCCACCTCTGAGAGGTATAATTCATTAAGCATTGTGCCAGATATTATTGAATATTTGTTGACAGAGGCTGGGTTTTGTTGCTATGAGGACTGTTACTACATTTACCATTGTGGTAAGTGGAAGGAGCACCAGTTTGGACAGAGAGACTTGTGCAGGTTACTCTGGGTCTCATTGTCTTCATCTCTATATAAACTGTGTCTCATAATGGCTTATATAACAGGATTGTTGTGAGTAATACAGAAAATATAAAATAAAGTCACTAGCTCTATTAATTATTTCTAGAACTATGCCACTTGTATAAATGACTAAATAGTCTGTAAAGTTTTATAAATTAACAAGAACATGAGTTTTATTTAGTGTTATTCTTTAATAATTGCCTTGTCAAATGTGGTATGTGATTTTTAAAGTCCTAATCCTATATTCTTTTAAAAAATAAGTGTTTAGGGTTGGCCCTGTGGCATAGTGGTTAAGTTTGGCATGTTCCACTTCGGCGACCTGGGTTTGCAGGTTTGGATCCCAGGTGCGGACGTATACCACTCGTCAGCCATGCTGTGCTAGCAACCCACATAGAAAATAGAGCACAGATATTAGCTCAGGGCGAATCTTCCTCAAGCAAAAAAAAACAAGAGGAAGATTGGCAACATATGTTAGCTCAGGGTGAATCTTCCTCAGCAAAAAAAAAAAAAAAGTGGTTAAAGAAAAATTGTATAAAAATGATTTTTTTCCTTAAAAGATAATTTACATGAACAAATTCAAATTTCTGGATAGATTATTTAGAGGATTAAAGGTGCTAGTTAATATAATCGTTTAAAAACTTTATTATAAAAGATGTAGAATATACAGAAAAATATGAAAAGAAATATATACCAAGTCCTACTTAAGATGTCTGCTGATTATATTTTAGTGTCTTTGCTCCTTTTGTTTTTGCATGTATAATATGTATGTCTTGCTTTACTTCTTAAGGTAAAGGAAAAGGCAGGGGGCGAATAAGATCTGAAGATGAAGAAGAACTGGGAAATGCAAGGCCATCAGCACCAAGCACATTATTTGATTTCTTGGAGTCTAAAATGGGGACTTTGAGTGTGGAAGGTAGGATAACTTAAAGTAGATTTCTTTTTAAAAGACCAAATTTTATTTGGAATTGTACAAAAAAGATTCACTAAAGCAACTGACAATATGAACATCTATTCTGGGCTTTCAAAAATTTCTTTAATTACAAATTTACTGTTTGACAAAAGCACAGAAGAAAATTTTAATTGTTATATTCTGAAAATACTAAAGGGCAGCTTATTTTGCCCTGTAACTGTATGGTGGGTAATATCACCAAACTCTTTCCCTGCGAGTTTACTAGCTGACGGATTTGGCTATGAAAACAAATTGTTATGTTGGAGAACTTATTATTATATAATCTTATAACAACTTATTTTGATTGTGAAATTGGTCTATACTATTTTTCTCCATATGTTACGTATTATATGAAAATATTCAGACGATGAGTGAACATGCTCCCACAATGTGATGTATTTCTTAATATGATATATTTTAGTGATTGATATAAATATTGAAAAGAGAAATAAGTATGTTAAATGTGTATCTTCTTTTTCTAAGCATGGACTATGGTAAATATTTTCTAATATAGTCAGTTTTTAAAATATGATTCCAAAAAGTTAGAGAAATATACTTTTACATTTTGTTTTCTCTTTCAGATATTTTTTGAATCAAACCAAAGTTCAGAGATAAAGTGCTTTTATAACAAATTTGAAGTGTGTAGATTTCATGAAAATGGAAGCTTATTTGCTAGATTGTATAGAAAAGGCAATGTATTATTTGAAAAAACAAATTTTTGATGTAGACGAGATTTGTAAGCAGACACACGTAAGAGCAGTATTTTCTTGGTTATAAAGCATGATACATTGGTTTTCTATTGCTGTTTAATGAATTACCACAAAGTCGGTGGCTTAAAACAATGCAAATATATTATCTCATAGTTTCTGTGGTACAGGAGTCCAGGCACAGCTTAGTTGGGATCTCTGATCAGGTTTTCACATACTGAAATCAAGATTTCACTTGGGGCTTGTGATCTTACCTGAGGCTTGAGGTCTTCCTACAAGCTCACTGGTTTTTTAGCAAAATGCAGTTCCTTGTGGATGTAGGACTGAAGTTCCCCTTTTCTTGTTTGATGTTGCCTGGGGGATGTTTTCAGCTCCTAGAGGCCCTCAGGTCCTTGCCACATGACCCCCTCCATAGGCACTTCACAACATGTTTGTTTGCTTTTGCAAGGCTGACAAGAGAATCTCTATTGCTTCTTCAAATGTCTCTGACTTCTTGATATTTTTGTCTCAGCCTCCCTTTTTATTATCCCAATCAGAGCTCCTTTGATTTCCTTTTATTCTTCTGTCTCCCTACATTTGATTTTGACTTCAAGTGTCTCCTAACTCATAATGAAATTGACACTGAGAGCCAGCCCTGATGGCCTGGTGGTTCAAGTTTGGCGCACTGTGCTTTGGCAGCCTGGGTTCGTTTCCTGAGCGTGGAACCACACCACTTGTCTGTCGGTAGCCATGCTGTGGCGGCAGCTCACGTAGAACAACTAGAAGGACTTACAACTAGAATGTACAACTATGTACTGGGGCTTTGAGGAGGGAAAAAAGAAAAAAAGAGGAAGATTGGCAACAAATGTTAGCTCAGGGCGAATCTTTCCCAGCAAAAATATAAAGGAAAAAAAAAAAGAAATTGAGACTGAGGATGGTAATTCTGCTGTGAACTGTGTGTCTATAATGTTTCAATTCTCACAGAATACATTCTGTATGAAGAAAACAAAGTAATATTAGCATCCCACTTGGAAAAATGTATCAAAGTTAATTAAGATACGTGACATGAATAATACACTCAAAACCAAGCATCAGTGTTAGAGATATTTACTTCTAAGGGGACAGAAATTTATGAATACATCTGTTAATATTGGATATTATTTTAGTAGAATGTGTTGTATTTACATTACTGTTATTAATATGCCACGGAGTCAGCTAGAATGTGAGAAAAACATGGACATTATAATAGTATTCCAGACCCTTGATTTTCACAAGGAGTATAATCTGTGACATTTATAAATTCCCAAATTCAAGAAATTAGATATTTCTAATATTTATACGGCCTCTTAAATTTTATCCAAATTCACATGTTCTTGTGGTCATCCTGACACCAGAAATCATCCCCTCCAAATTACAGTAGCATTTTATGCCTACTTGATGACTATTATTCTCAGAGAAGCAAATTTTTTTTCTTTCCTAAAAGTACTGTGGGAAGGCCAGCTAACCAAAATGGGAGATGGGCAGAAGGCTACTTAGAGGAGGTGGCATTCAGACAAGTCCAAGGAGGAGCGTTTGGGGAAGAGCAGTCCAAGTGGAGGGAGCTTTGGGTATCCAGGCTTGGAGGCATCAGAGCACCAGTTCCCTGTGCCTGGGAGAGTATGGGAGAGGTAGAGATAGAAGGCCAGGGATAGAAGTGGTAGGCTGGAGCCAGATTGAGAGGAATTTGTCCTAAGAACTTTTTATTTGATCCAAAAGGCAGTGCAAAGCCATGAAAGGGTTTTTGGCATGAGAGCAACAAAGTTTGTTTGATGCTTTCAGAAAAAAAATTTCTGGCTGCAAGGTGGAAAATGAGACTGAGACTGAAGTGAGACTACAATTATATGTGTCATGAGGAATTATTCATTCTATAAATGCATTATTCATGTAGTATTTATTTGTACCAGGTCTATGGTAAGTGGTGGGGATACAAAATATAATAAAATACCTCATTCAAAAAATTCAAGGAAATAAATGGATTTTGTAGCTCTTGCCCCAAAGAAGCTTACTGTTTAGTTTGTGAGACAGAAGAAATCACAATCTAAAAGGGCATAAGAATACATATTAAAAATAATGTTATCATTTACTTAGTGTAAACCTTTTATAATTTACTTTTTTATCATTTACTTAGTGTAAACAACACTGAACAAAATATAAAGGCTTAGCAAAAGCAATTTTGAATACAGTAATCAGATATTATATGGCATATTTGTAAGATATAATAATATTTAATCCTTTATTTCAAAGTTTTATTGCCAAAATAATGCCAGTTAGTTGTTTCAAGTGGCTAGGAAATACTTTAATCAGGAAGCTTGAAAGTACTGCTCGGTTATTTCATTGTTTTAAATATTTGACCAGAAACTGATTCTGTCAGTAGCAGCCCTTCTGGCCCTCAACTCTTTCTTTGATGGTGTTGACATCACTCAGAGGAGATTGGTGATAACACACATAAGCACAAACAGTTGGACAATAAATTGACACATATATGGATTGAAGATTATTGCCCTTGTAGATATTTCTTATATTCCCTTGGCTCTGTCTTCACGTAATTCTGTTACAATGAAAGGGACAGGATTGATGGGAATGCTTGGTGTGTGGACACGCTCAGATATCTTGCAGAGATCATTCTGTTACTCTTTCTCTTGTTAACCTACTCATACTACTGTGGTATTCTTAGGTAAGTTGGGGTTCATAGTAAAATAAACAGTTGAAGCAAGCTACTGAATTGTTTTTCTGCTCATTTTATGATTTCATGTTTCTTTTTAATTGGAAATAAAGCCCAGAATAACCTTTTACTTTTGTGAAATTGAATCTCCACTTTGCTCTACCTTCAGAAATTTGGTCCTTGTTCCATAAATCTTATGTTCTAAAATTAGCTCTTCATTGATGGGAGAAAATGTTGGCCATTTTTATAAGGAAAATATAGAAGGCTTTTCAGGATAGGGTCTCCATAATGTTTAGTGGTTCAATGCCTTATGGATAGCTAGTGAAGAGAGTTATGATCTTATAATTTTATTTATGTTTGTATCATCGGTGTCATCAGTTGGGCCTGTTACAGTCCTAAATTGGTCATAAAGAAGTAATCGTAAGTCAGTGATGTTGTATATTTGGGGTTTTTAAATGTTTGTTTGTAATTTAGTTGAATAATCAAACCTTTCTCGCTTCCATGTTTTGTATCATATAAGCTGTCTGAAGATTTTGTTTGTTTGGGTACCCCTGGAAGTCATGTTCTAGCTGAGTAAGCCGAGGTCTAGAGGGACTCGTTGTGTCGTATCAGATTGTGTCCGGCTTGTTGAAAAAAAAATACATCCCTTGAGAATGTGCTTCTGACAGATTTAACGCAAATTAGTAACACATTTATTTTCACATTATATTATATAATTTTCTCTAAAAGAACAGAGGGTGCTATCATTTCTTTATTCTGATTTTTAAAAACTTCCATCAGAGGTAATTGATCATCATATGTACTTTTCTTAGAGATTTTCTCTTAGCATTGACTTTGTTGTTGTTGTATCTTTAAATTGGAATCAAACATAGTTCTAGTTGATATTTTTATCAATATACTGAAAAAAATGAGGTAAGAGCAAATTTTTTTCAGAGGGTAATCACTAATTAAAGTATTCTGTGTGATACATAATGACTTAATGTCAACTTGGGAATATTTAGTTGATCAGTTTGTGATAGGGTTGTGTGCCAAAAGGCTCCTATATAGAGAGTTTTTTGAATCTGGCTTTATAGACTAGATGTTATAATTGGTGGCTAGATTATCAGGCCAATTCTCAAAAGTCATTTTTTATGTCATCATATACCTTAAGTTAATCAATATATCACTGCAGTAGTACATAACTACCATTTAAAACAATGCCCACTGGGAATATGTATTTTAAGTTTCAACTTGGGACAGAAGGAGTAGGTTTGATTCTTTCTATGATCATGGAAGATATCTGGGTTGGCCAGAGATATAGGGGAAAGGGATGCGTTGAGATAGTAACTTTATTGTTTTAACTTGCTATGTCTAAAAAAGGCCAGGATAACCTTAATTTGTTCTCAATGGGGAACAAGGAGCATTGTGAGAAAAGTGGACAGAGTAACTCTCTTAAGTTCTCCTACTCCTTTACTGTGCCCTCATTTGTGGAGCTTATTTTGTAAATTAAATTTGTATTATGTTTTATTTATGTTTCTAAATATTTTGTGTCAGAATTTTATAAAGTAGAATAGAGAATATGACCCAATTATATAAAG